GCCTGTAACTCCACAAGGGCAACAAACTTTGCCTTATATTATATTTTGAAAAATTAAGTTTTCTGTGTCTGTAATCAAAGTAGCATGTGAGAATAGAATTATACTCAGTTAAATAAACATATTTAAATTATATACATTGTCCCCTTAACTTCTATATTTAGACTTTCTCGTATAGCCTGATAAAGTACATACAATCCAAACAAGCATTCCCAGTCTAATAACCATGGTTTGTCAGACTGCAAGCAAGCAATGGTTTGAACACTCCCACCTCCCATGCCATGACAACTTCGTTGAATATTTCCTGGTTATAAAAACAGGCTGTACGTGCACCCTACAAAAGAACAGTTTGAAACTGGTTTGGAGGAAATGCTTGAACAAGTTTCCTGATTCTGATTCGGTGACAGAATATGGCTTAACAAATCAGAGGTCTTCAGTGAAGCTGATCAATAAAGGAATGCAGCAATGGAAACATGGAATGCTTTTTCCAATAAAATTGTTCCTAACCATTTGCTAGAGTAGGTATGCAATACTTGAACCGTACTACCATCTTAATGCTGCTTTCCATGTCTATCTTTATGCACCAACAACCATACTGACCACACTGGCTGGAATGATGGGAGTTACAGTCCAACATAGCTGGAAGACATCTGGATAGGCTATTATACACCTTATATGATAGCGCACAATTCATACACTTTCACACACTCAGTGTCTCAATCTTTCAGCTTTATTTTTTTTTTTTAATCACATGTTACTGGTCAGTCTCTCTCAATGTGGCTGATACATTGAGCTAATCTATCCTGCAAATAACAAATGGTGGTTGGTTATTCACAGAACAATTAATGGTGCACACAACACATCAGTTCCCCACCACCACCACAATTCCTTCCCTCTTGGATTCTAACATTGGTATCCCAGGCAGCCAACTAAAAACACCTTGTCTCCTTCTAATCACTGCAATTACAAGTTCTTCCATATTTGTCACCTTTTTTCCTCTTTTAACTTCCCCACCTTCTCCCCCCCCCGCCCCCGAGACCACCATTCGCAATCTCTGAACTGACAGCTACAGACAGATCCTCCAAAATGCCCAAGTAGCACTTTGGCAGGGCTGTTTCTGGTTCACCCCCTTTTGAAAAAGGCAGGTTGCTTAATGTAACTGTCATTCATCAAGTGATCCATCTGTGCATTCACATGTTTGGGCTCTGCACATGTGTGGAGTCTGTTACTGGGAAGATTTACTAGCTAAACATGCTTTGGCAGGAATCCTTTGCCCACAGTAGCATCCATTATAAAAGGAAGGAGTTCCCAGCCTTTCCCTCAGTTCAAATGAGACCATCCAGGTGGCCTCAGGACCAAGGGAGGATCAATAAAACTGACCTTGAATTTGACAAAGTCAGAACCATGTAAAAATGTTAAGTCACTTATGACACTTAGCAGGGCCAGTGGGTGACTTGTGTGAATGCACAGATGACTTCTCACAGAACAACAGTTACAGGTAAGCAACTTGGTTTCCTTTTGTGGTCTCTGTTCATTATACATATGGTGAACACGCAAACTTCGGTGGAAAAGTGGTCTATCAGTGTAGTCTTCAAAGTGTGGAAGATCTCACCCAAGATCTCAGAGCTCCTTTGCCACTCGTGGATGTCAAAATTCCTCCTGCTCAGGAAATCTGCTAAAGTGTTGCTGTTTCTATCAATGCAAATAGCAATGTGATTCAATTGTTTACCCACCAGTCCCAGATTCAAAGGGCCAGTTGGTTCCAATGGAGTCAATCTGGTGTCTCCCTGTTTGTTGTTATAAAACACTACTGTGGTGTTGTCCATGGCAATTTGTATGTGATGTCCCAGCAAGAGGGAGGAGACTAGGGGCCAACCCAGAGATCTAGCATGGCCTCTATCGATCCTGGTCCACTGTTTTGCCCTGTGCCCACAAATGTCCAGTCTCTGTGTTACCTTCTTAAGAATTAATTCAGTCCAAGAGTCAAGGCCATATGGTTTGTGTGTGTTCCAAGTTTTAAGTCAGGTGGAGGTGTCCGAAAGAATGTCCAGTAAACATGCCAGAAATCTAGATACCGATTAGATTTAACGAAGTCAGAGAATGCAGATAACAATACTTGTTGTTTGCAACAAAGAGCAGTTCTGTCCGAAATACTTTATAGCCAGCTGTAACTCAGCGCAGCTGACTAATTAAGTCAGCATGCTGTTTCACAGAAATTTCCCCCTTTCAGGCTGTTTGGACTTCTGTCTAAGCCATGTACTCCTTTCTAAGGGGTGAATTCCCTTTGCTCTTGCTCCTGGGGAACCCCAGGGACTGCCGAAGATCAACCTGGTGGGGTTTATTTGTATTCAAAAGAGGCACACTACTTTGGTCTAGAACATCATGGCAAAGTTCCATCTGTTGCTCAGGAAGGTGATCACAGAAGGATCTCAACTGCTCCCAAAGGAAAAGCTGGTACCTCAACATTATGCCGTTGTTTAGCCATCTTAAGTTCCAGCAACGAGGATGTGCCTTCCCAAAATGTCCAGGTGGCATCCTTCATTGTCACAAAATGTGGTGTGCTGCTGATGCAACCTCTCTTGTGCCAATTCCAACATGATGGAATTCAGAGATGGCTGCTGAAAGCATGAACTTTTCTAGCATCTGATATATATTCTCCAGTAGCTTCGATGCCAGTGCCATGGTAGACAGGTCTTCCAGGATTGTTACATTGTCCAGACCAATGTAGGGAAGAAGGGAATTGCAACCAGAGTAGATTCCTTAGTCTGGACTGTGTTGAAGACAGCGTCCCAACACTCTCCAGTTGGCACTGTGTACTAAGTTGGAGGACCTAGGCCTTTCTCTGTACACACCCAGAAAAATGGTCCATATACACAGATGGTACTGCAGGGACCCCCACATCCACAGCCATGTCTGAAGAGTAAGCCGTTGGCATGATGAATGATTGTTTAGTAAATGTCTGACAGTGAGGGTACTAATCTACTTCATGACCCTTGCCAAGAAAAGAAGGCATAAGGAATGCCTACCAGCAGCTCACACATTTTTCAAAAAGGAGTCTCTGATGCCATCAGGAAAGACAAGGAAGGAGGCTTTAGAGGAAAAATAGTAGAAAATGAGAGTTAGTAGATTGAGGGATGACAAAGAAGTTATCTTTCTTTCTTTTCTGAAAGGACAGAGCACTTTGAGAAGAAATGAAAATATGCAAAAAGAAGAGGCATATGGGTATATAGAAGAATGACGAGGAGAAAGGAGAAAAACACTTGGAACTTTAAAGGAAAAAAGAACTTCCTGAAGCACCAAAAGTGGTCAAAAAAGAAATGTAGGAAAGGGAAGGAATTTTTCCCTTTTATAAGGAGCCTTGCTGCTTCAAACAAGTCTCCCTAAGTGAAACAGTGTGTTCCATTGCACCCACCATGGCTTGTTACTCTCAATGGGTTTTCATGTTATGTGAAGCCACTTAACATATGATTTTCACGTTCTTCTTTTCTGACTTGACTGCCTTCAGGTTATTTCACATATTGCAATTTTTTTCCAAGACTCTAGCCACTTAGAACAGTGCATAGGTGCATCTCACACTCCTCTTTCAGAAAAAGGAGTTACAGGTCCCCTTTAAAAGGAAGTTTTGACAGGGAAATTGGTGTTTTTGGAGACAAGAGATATGAGCACAATACTTGAACTATTCTTGGAGAACCATAAAGGAGTTAGCCAACCAGTGGCAGCTCTTCTAATGTACTACTTGTGCACTTCAGAAGAATTGTCACTGAATATAAAAAAAAGAAAGTGGAAAAGGGAAAGCTTCAGGGGGAGGGAGATGGGAAAAAATGCAATGGATCAAAAGATGGCTCAGTGGGGAGAATACAAACTGGTCACAGCATTCCCTGGGATACTGGCTGGAGAACTGAGGGGAAAAGAAGAGGAGAACAACCCACACTGAATCCAATTGTCTGTCAAGCACACATTGGATTGTTCACAAACTACCATGGCTTATTGTCAGAGTAGATTAACATGATGTGCCGCTCCACCCATCTCCTACCTGCTCATGCATTTAGTTAATGTCAAGGTCATTGCTAGGAATTGACAGTCTATGAATAAGCTTCTAGGGAGAACACGTATGGCATTTACAGTGAGCTTTCTGAAGCAAAAATTATTTATCCTCAATCTAGCTCTGACCCAGTATCCTCATCCTACCTCACCATTTCATTATATAGCAGATTTTCTTTAACCCCAAATATGATCAAACTTTGCTCTGACTTCATTATTATCTTCTATTTTAATAACTGCAGCAGTAGTAAAAGTTGGGCTTTGATATTAACAAACAGAATTCTACCAATTAGTTTGAATTTAAACAGAAAATCATTAACATAATCCACTCTCATTGTGAAACACAGTAAGAGGAGAGTTATTTGAATCTTATTTTAAGGTGAGAACTCACACAGAATAGACTTCCACTCTAGTTGCAAGAAGTCAAAATTAGAACCAAATACACATAATCACATTTCCTCTATACCAGATCATGCTTCTCAGCACTAAAACTGAAAATGAAATTAATGTTTTTGACAGCATTATTTCATTACTCCTGCAGATTTTTTGTGATTTACAAAACTAAGCATCCATTTTTTTCTTTTTCAAGTTAACTTATAAACAATTCATGCACTCATTTTAACTACTTAAGAATAACTTTGTGGAAGATGATAGTGTACACTGACACTTCTTACACTATAAAGAGTATAAGTACAAAATTATATATATAATAATTTTCTGCAAGATTTTTAGAGTTTTGCAAAACAACAACAACAAAGCAGGACTGACAAGCCTCATTTCTTATTGTTTTCCCATTTGGCCATTGCAATAAAGTCCATTCCACCAATGGGAAATTAAATTTAAGACACCGAAAAGAAAATGTCTTTTTTTCTCTGGCTAAAGTTCAGATACAACAGAAACAGCAATTAAACCTTCACATAACATGCATTAAAACATGCAGGTTTTTCAGTTTACAAACTTACCTCCCGCATACATAACTGCCAGCATGATGGAGGAGATCCAGGACACTTTGCTACTAGATGCATCAAAGATGACTTCTATCTCTTTAAAAAACACTGTAATAGATTTTGGGAATGCATAGGAAAAGCCAATAGAAATAAAGGCACCAACAACTACAGCCCAGCCCCACCCTCCTTCTGGTGGGGTGTATCCCACTGGGCCTCCAATTGCTGGTGGCATCTTGATTGAAGGTGTAGTAATTCAGTTACAAAACAAAGATCTGCAATAATAAAAAAAAGATAGTCAGCATTGCTAATGAACAGATGTGGCATATTAAAACTGCCCTCAATCACTGTCCAAAGGCATGTAAGAAAAGTGGTTCTTCTAAATGAAATCCAACATTTGCATTCTACCCCAGTGCTGGTTTTTAGCCTGCTAGAGAAAGCAGAAACAAGTCCACCAAAAGTTCTGAAAATTCATATAAATTAAATGCTAGTTTTAGGCTAAGTAAAACCACAAGGTTTAACCTCCTGCATGCTTGTGCACATCCCATTTCCAGAACTTCCTACTTCCCATATGATTGCAAGCTAAAGAAGGGTGATCTTCTCCAACAGTCACAGCTGCAAGATTTGCCTTGACTGGGGCCTCTGATTTATAGCCTGGTTTCATGAGAACTTAGCAGGATGATAATTCCATACAGGGGAATCCAAAGAGGGAGGCTTTGGGATATCTTCTGGTTTACATCTTCAACTAAATAGAACATGACAGAACCACCGTCTTAGATTTAGGGGTCAGATTCCCCTATGAGGACAGATCACCAGAAAAGGAGTTTCAGTAGCCCCTCCCCTACAGAGGACAAAACGTTTGTTTGAAACAGCATCTTAATTGCCTAGATACTTTATTTCCTCTAGTTTCAATGAATATTCTCGATTGCCTTAAATCATATATCATTAAGTCTCTGACTTTGATCCTATGTGAATTCTCGCCTTGGGACTTTCCTTTGGAGAAAGAAATATGCTGATATCTCTGTCTAGGCAATTTGATGTAGTGGGACTTCTAAATGCTGTAAAACTTTGCAGAGGTTCTGGAAAACTGGTCTGTGCAATCTGATCTGCAGCAACAGAGTTGCACTGTTACCAGAGCACGTCAGAAAGTTCTGCTTGACACATGGCAAGCTCCAATTAATCTAAAATGGAAGTGAAAGCTACTGAACACCAACACCTTACTGCAGGAGAATGGGGAAGCCTAGGAATCTGTGGGGTGGAGAGCATTTTCATAATTTTCAAGTTCATTCTCATAAAACTACACTTCGATTATCATTATGGCCAAACTACCTTTTCTCAACCTGAGAACCTTTCAAATGTGTTAGACTATATCTCCTTTTATCCACAGCCAGCATTTCCCATGGCTTGGGCTGGTTGGAGGTTGACAGATGTAGTCCAACCTATCTGGAAGGTGTCACATTGGAGAAGGCTGCCTTAGTGATTAGCAGTGGGTGATACTTTTTTGCATTAAACTGAGTCATGTACAGCTTTATAATCCAAAGATGGATCTGAACAGTTCAAGATTGCCATCCCACCCTGTAGCTACCAATCTTAAAAAAAAAACCCAAAAAACTATTACTGGGATATAAGCAATATATCCCACTTTTTCTAAGATAAAGCCATTTGCATTTGCCAAAAGAAAAAAGATGTCTGCAAGATTTAGTTTCAGACAAAAATTTTTTGAGTAACAAGAGATAAGATGGAATCAATAAAGTGGCTTCCCATCTATGCTGCCTGCCTCTTTATTTGGGGAAAAATATTTCTAATATTTCTACCAATATTTCTAAAAAGTCCCTTTGCTCAACTTTTTCAGAAATATTATACTCCAAACTCTATCATAAGCATTGCCTGTTTTAAGTTCTAAAGTCAGGTATATGTGCATGTATATGACTGTGTGAGTGAAAGGGGGAGTGATTTCATTTACCAAGACAACAAGAGCCATAACGTTGATACATAAAAATTTAATTACAAAGACAATCCTATCAGACTAGACAGTTGCAAATTAATCTCATTATTTTATCTGAGCTTCTTCAGGGGACAACCTGATTTGAATCAATACACAGTCATCGAACTTATGGAAGCTAACTTCTCATGTGGTTGAACATGAAAGCAACACAATTTCTCATGGGCATTCTGGATCCTGGGTGCACTATAAACACCTGCCCAAAAGTTACACAGCAGTTCAAATCAAGCAGACCCGCTTTCCCCAATGCCAGAAAAATGCACATAAAGTAAGCTCTATCTGCATTAAGCCATTTTTCCTTCAAACTGTCACAAGAATAACAGTTTGCACTTACAACATTCAGCAAAAAATATCACTGTAAGTCATTCTTGTCTGAACAATAACTAACCATTTTGAATGTTCATTATCCCTTAGTATCACAATAAAGGTAGTATAAGTTTTATTTGCCTTTTTATAACACCTATCTGAAATTGTCACACATTCATTTTTATATTTGTGGTGCTCCATGGCCATGACTTGTAGTATTTGTAATTGTTATGTAATTTTATTGTATCTTATTGTTCTTTTAAACTTTTGATGGCCTATGGCTATAAACAATAAAGAACGTCATCCCAAGAAAGAACATCCATTTTGTTTAAAAGATGCAAGGAGGAAGTTTCTGTATTACCATATCCACTTACTAAATACAAAGGAACCAACAATATAAAGAAACTGCACAAATCTTTTTCTTTCCACTGTGCAAATGCAATCCTTCTTCTATAGTCTTGTATCTTTTTTCATTTTTGTTTTCTTTCAAAACTTACCTCTAGGTAAGTAAGACCCATGTAATGGTAGTTCTAGAACACTTTAAAGAACCCATTCCTAAGTGTGCAAAGCCTCATGAGTCACTGTTCTCCAAGGCAACCGCAAGGATTCCTGTATGCCTTTCAGAGTCAGAGGAATCACATTAAACTATATTCCTCTTGCTCTGGCCCTGTAGGGCCGCCCAAATTTTTTTCCAGCATGAGGACAAGTAGCCTGGTTTCTGTCAAGGCATTCCTAATGGAACTAGTTAGTGTTATAAAAAATCAAGATCATTCCTCCAGTTATAGAGTTCAATACAATTAAGTGCAAAAGTTGGGGATGCTCAAATTGTCAATTAAAATATTGCACTGGTTAGCTCTATACCATTTTCTGAGAGAGACATAAGCAATCCTTTAGCATTACAGGAGATATCTTCATTCTTAATGTCAAAAGGCTTTTTTATTAGCTAATGGCTGATGGATATGTAAAACATACATACATATTTTATGTATGTTTTTATGTATTCTTTGTGAGCCGCCCCGAGGCTTTGTTGCGATGGGGGTGGCATAGAAATGTTTTTAAATAAATAAATAAAAGGTGGCATTGCTCCAGAAAGAAGGGGGCTGAACAGCTCTATTGAAAAAAGACTGGGCAGGGAATGAGGGACACACTGCATGGTATATGAGGGAATTCTCTTTCTTTATATGAAAGAATAAAATGTCCCAATAACACAAGGTTTACAGTTGCTCTTGAAAATAACTCTGAAGGTCAGTAACCAAGTTAAATTTAGCAGCAACTGATAACAATGGAAAGTTTCAATAGATGCCTACATGCCTTGCACAGGCTCCATGAGATCTGAATTCCAGTCTACTTGGAATGTAGCCCATGCTGCAGATTTCCCACCAGCGCAATGCCAATACAGGCATTTTGAGGTGCACTGAAGTTGCCCCAGTGCAAAGTTCTCACATGACCTGTTAGCAATTTTGGACACCTTAGTTGTAGACAAATACTCCAGATATCATTAGTTATAAGCATTTGTGGCCTAAGAAATCCCACTCTTGTGGCATCCAAGAACTCATTTTGGCCCCAGCTTCTAGATATATGGATTCCCATAAGACTGACTGAGCCTGCTCTAATTTCAAATGACACTGTACCCAAATTAGTATGCAAAATTCAGTTTGGTATATTCTAGTGATTACATTCCCTGCATGAACTTTACACAAACCAGGCCAAACAAAAACAAAGCACTATTTTATTGCCATGTGACCAAAGATTAGTGTAAGCAGCAACAGGAAGAAGAGGATGAAACAGAATAATTTAAATCCACCTAGTAATATGCAGCACTCAATATGCAGAAAGGATCCTCAATGAAACAAAAGCACCATGAAACTATGTTCTAGGAACTTGACCAGTTGCACATGAACATTATTTAGCATTAAAGTAAATAGGAGAAACCCAATAAAAGGTTACTACTACAAGAAAAACCATTCCAGAAAACCATGCCATTTTTCAAGCCTCAAAAACTATCCTCAAGACACAAATCTTTTGTACTGTCAGTATGATTCAGTATTGCAACAGTGGTGAATAAAGTAAGCAAATTTCACAAAAATATGTAATATTGTGGTTCTCCTTGTCACACAAAAAACAGAACTTGTCATTTTAAATTTACTGATGGCTAAACTAAACATCAGATTAATAAGGCATACTGCAGTTAGGTGTGATAGTCTCACCTGACTTCCTGGAAACACATGTGGCCCAAATTAAATACAGACCGTAGTCTTCTAGGAAGAGGAACAAAATAAACCTACCCCAATACACACACACCCTGAAATTCCACTGAGGGGAAGCATTAAAGAAAGTTACATAGACTGCAATGGAAATTTATCCTCCTAACTACCCATTTATAGGAGTGGGAAACTCTGCCACCATCACCCTCTACTTTCTTATGTATACAAAGGAATGCCAGAAACTGTGGATTTAAGGGTTTTTTGATATAAACACCACAACATAATGGCGGGTTAGCCTCTCCCATCACAGGAAGGAGAACTGAGAATTAGGAGACATTTTCCCCTCTCCTATCGTCAGAGAGTTTACCCAAGAAAAAGATTCATTTATTTTTGCATTTATATGCTGCCCCCTACTCCTGATGGCATCCCCATCCTGTGGATCTGGCAAAATGAATACATGAGATACATGCCAGGACTATCAGGCGAACATGGAATGCCAAGCTCATGACAGATCTAAGGCTCCTTAAAAGCCTGAATGTTCTGTCTGGCACGACAATACCGGACTTTGACCCAGATGTTTACACAGAAAGTTTGCTGATCATGTTATGGTGCACCAGAAGGGTACAGAAATAAGGACCTTGGCCCTGCTCTAAGTCAACTATATGAATCATTTTGTTTCCTAACTAGGGCAAATAGGTTTGATATCATAACACTCATGCTGTATAATTCATGGCACTTCCAGAAAGCTCCTAGTGCTACCAAT